GTCGAAACACTATTTATATAAGCCATTTGACAGAACAACAATTGTTATGGTGTGTACGTCTCTTACAAACTTACGAAGCATAATTACAATCATAATTGTCATAAGACACTTTTGTAGTTTCTGACGCATTTCGATTTGTTTCCCAAGTTTTTAAAAGTACAAGAAATGAATACCTTTATACAGACCTATATAATTTCTCGAATGTTTTTTTTATTATTATTTAAAATATTTTAGTTTGTGATTTAAATAATTTTGCTTGGAAAGTGTTTAAACAGACAAGAAACGAATATTACATACATAATTCCTCAAAAGTTTTGTACCATATGAAAACAGGGTTTGATTAACTTGACACGTTCAGCCAATCAGATACAAGTTGATGCACTGTCTTTAATTGCAAGTGTTCCACCATCGATTATTTAACTCAGCTGCATACCTTAGCTACTTAGTAACTTGGAGCATTGCATGCACTGACAAAAAAGAAAACTGCCAATGTGATCTGATTGCTTACATTGACGCCCGTGCACATTTAATGTAATGAAATATATTGTAGAATAATAATAATAAAAAGAATCCGTGGGCATACACGCGTTGCCACTTTTGTCTTAACTAACTGGGTGAAACTACGAAAAATATCAATGTTTATCATTGGCATTTCAAAGGAAAAAATCCAATGGTAAAGTCTGACCGATTGTAATATTAGTGAAGTCCCTTCTTCTCCCCAGTGAATCTTGAAATAGCCAGTACAAGCTATATAGCAAGGAGCTGAGATGCCTGTCTCGAAGGCATTGTGCAAAATATGAAGGGTGCAGCCTCTTACGTTCACCTTAGCGAAGTTCCTACTTGTCTCCTTTGAAACAACATCCAGCAGAAGCTTGTAAAACACTCAATTTACGTTTAGTTCATCCAGCGCAATTGCTATACATTGACAAGATTAATCGTTTCTACACAAAATTTAAACTTTCCTGAAATATTCTTCTCAGTGGTATGCATCATTAACAATGATCCATGGTGATGTGTTTTTCATGATCCCACATGTGAACATGTTTGGTTTATATTGAAAAAATGACTAACACTCATTGATTCCCCTCCTCTTTCAGCCTTCCATCATCATCATCATATGACAGGTTTTATGTTTTTTTATATCCTGCATATGACTAGTCAATGCTATTTCTCACATCTTAAAAATGTTCAAATCTTTATCACAAGCTTTACTTCCTTACCTGATACGTGTTCAATCGACCAATGATGCTTCCAAGTTAAAACCAACCCTTATTAACATCAAATTTTACTCATTCTGATTTCATAGATTGAATACTCCAAAATCTGAATGATGATTTATCCACAATTAATTACAAGTCATGCATCTGTAATAGATGCCATTAGCACTGCACACAAGCAATTATAGCAGTAAATTTAAAGTCAGAATCTCAGAAGGTGTGATTTGATTTTGAAAGTGGGATTTGATGTACTTAACTTGTATAAATTGGATAAAAAGTACAAAGTTACATAATGGGCTATGCTGTGAGCTGAACCAGATTTTTAGCTGTATAAGCTCTCAGCCTTACTACTGGGCCAATAACATGAGATAATACCAATACAATCTACTTTTCTATAAACTTTTCCTAAACAGTAACGTTGCATTATCTAAGCACCTTTCCATCCCTGGAAAATCATTCTACAAAATGCTTACGAACCTTGCTTAAGTTGCCATGGTCACTAGCAGTAGCAACTTCTCCAACAACTACTTACATTGAAAATGTCTGCATAATTCTTTCAGAGGTAGGAATCCCAATACTAGGAAAATACTTTTTGAAGTATCTTTTATAACCTTACAACTGTGTACTTTCCCCTTTATAATATTCATTGAAAGTTACTCTACCAAATAAATTATAAATTGAGAAGGAATAATAAGAGCACAGATAAGTACATCGTTTTTAACACTACAAAGACAAACCATTGACTACAGGCACAACATCAAACTTGTTCTTAATCACCACAATAATGAATGTTTGGTACAACTTTCTTGATAGAATTAATTTGATTCAACTAGAAATTAAAAAGCTTTGACATATACGTTTCACGTGAAAACTATTTTATTATTTTTTACAAATGATGCTGAAACATTCAATTGGATTGAGGATTTTAAAAGAACCCCAGTCCTTGTCTTTCGGGTCAGATAATGTGTATACATAACTTTAGGATGAGAAACTTCACTTGTGAAACATCAGACAAAAAAAACTCGAGGAAGAAATAACATTCTTTACAATTATATTCATCTGCACGCTCTACCAGAACTTCCTACAGTGCTATATTATATATTTACTTAGGCAAGTTACAATAAGATAAAAGGAAAGCCAGATTTTCCAACTACTCTATTTTCACACATGACCAAGATGCTCAGTTCTGCTCAATAAATTTACTAGCAAGCAAGTCAGGTATGAATGATAGAAAATACTAGGCTGGGCCCCCAAAGTAATGCAAAGAATCTTATAAATTTCTATTCCTAGTCTGAAGTGCTAAAAATGCTTATGAACAGACTCGTTGCATTAAAAACTTTGACTAAGCAAAAAGTAGGTGAGGTGATTCTGAATGAAAAAGCCAGTATGCAATCCAGACTCCTCGAACGAAGGCCTTTCTAACGATATGAGATTTGTAGCATTTGATTGAGAAATTTATGAGAAAAGGTTCAGACAGACAAATGTAAGCGTATTATTTATATAGATTAATATCTAATTACACAGCTTAGATTAATGTTCTAACTCCTTTGACTTACAAAACTACTTAGTCACAGAATTAGGTCGCAATTCTACAAAGTAGTCGACACATTTTTTTAACTCAGTATTTCAAATTGCTAGAATAAAGTATTTGTTAAATATCTAAACAATTTGTTTTTCTTTTAGTAGAAAATACATCAGATATATATATTCAAAATCAGGTGAGCTAAAATTACAATCCAATTTAAAAAGCCAATGAATTTCAAAATTTTTTTACTTGTTTTTTTATTCATCTCGTAAAGTTCTTGAGTACCAATTGAAATTCTCTTTATAAAATTACAAAATAATTCTTATTAATGTTGAAAAAGTATCCTTTTACATAACTGATACAAGCCTAATTTGGGGGAGATACCTTTGTTAACTAAGTGTTTGTAAAACCCATGTTTCCCAAAACTACACTTTCTGCTGAGTTGTAGACTAAATAACCGTAAACTATGCATGAATATTATAATAAAAATCCTTATATTGCACTTAAAATTTATACAGATATAAATGCTTTTTATACACTTGAATGTGTTCACAATAGAACAACACAAAACTATAAAACTGCCAACTCTGAGGAACATAATAAAACAATATAGTTAAACTGATTCTGTGTATAATTAGAGACAAATTTTAAGGTTTTATATTTTTCTTTGGGTTAACAAGTTTTATATTTATTGTTAAATTTAATAATCATGTTGCAACATACATTATTTTCTTGAAATATATTTGAGTAAAAGACAAAATACTGCAGATTTGTTTTTAATAACCCCATTCCAGCACCAGATGTCAATGGCACCCTGTGTCAATACAATAAATTTGAAGCAAAACATTAACAAATATTCATTATCAATATATATATATATTTTTTTCGAATTAAGTCCACCTGTCAGACAAAAAGTTTTCATCCAGTTCATATGTTATTCTATAAATAAATATCAGCTAGTTTTGTGAGCTATAATGTAAGTTTTTATCACAGATTTTCATGGGTCTAGGTACTTTCTTTCCTAAAAATGTCCATAATATTAATATTTAAGTTCAGAGAAGTAATTTCTTAGATGGATCAAACAAAACTATTATGAGAAAGCACAATATGCTTATAATACAAAAATAAAAAATTACACTGATGAAGTTTTCAATGATTAGATGAAAAGTAATTATTTACTCTGAGAAATATAATGAGTACATTTTTGATTTTCTTTAACATAGGGGGTCGGGGGGCTTATATTTTAGTGGTAAAGTAAAATCTTTTACCTTTCTAGATTTGAAAATAATCTGTTATTGTTTTATTATGAATGAAACTAAGTGGTACGTACTCTTACAATTTTTATTAATGTTTTAAGTTTATCGATGATAAATAAGCGTGTATTATTATCAAAATAATAATTAAAAACATCCACATTACTTTTAGTTCATATGTATACCAAAGTAATAATAAGATTACACTGGTGAGATATGTAGCAGGTCTATCTCACAATTCATACATGGTACATTACTTTTAATAAAACAATGGTAATTTTATATTAATACGTAAATTCAACAGTCATTCTATTGAAACATTATGGAAATCTATAAAGGTAAAGATTACACAGGTTTATTTCTAGAAAGCCTAATTGTTTAAGGGTGAGTACAAATAAAGATGGGGTACTCTTCAAATCATATTAAAAAAGTAGATTTAAGTGCTTTTAAATTACAAAAAAAAATAATATAATTTGAGGTTGTATTTAATTAATAATTTTTCTTTTAAGACCCTATGGCTTCAGATGAGAAATAATCAATATTTATTACTAAGAGCAAAAATAAAAAAATATTATAACAAAATAATTCTTCAGGGAGTATGTATTTGAAGTACGTTCAAAACTGACAAAATGATTCGAGCAAGCTTTTTAAAAAGAAAACCATTTCCTGTGGTTAAAGTACAAAATGATTCGAGCAAGCTTTTTAAAAAGAAAACCATTTACCTGTGGTTAAAGTACAAAATGATTCGAGCAAGCTTTTTAAAAAGAAAAACCATTTACCTGTGGTTAAAGTACAAAATGATTCGAGCAAGCTTTTTAAAAAGAAAACCATTTACCTGTGGTTAAAGTACAAAATGATTCGAGCAAGCTTTTTAAAAAGAAAACCATTTACCTGTGGTTAAAGTACAAAATGATTCGAGCAAGCTTTTTAAAAAGAAAACCATTTACCTGTGGTTAAAGTAAGAGGGTGACAAGAATTGCTTCTTTTTTCTCAAGGTGATAGTAAAAGCTTAGAAGTTCAGGAAATGTTCTATTTCTTAACTGTAAGTAATACCTAAAGTAAGGTTTATAGTTGACGTACCACTTTTTAATGATCAAACACATTAATGTCAATATTTATTGTTAAGAAGCTTTCCATGCAGGATACCGAGGATGCCACCAGTTGAAAACTTGAACCATTTCTACAGAATCAAAGTCTAGTACAACACCAGACATAAAGGATTTCCCTTTACTACTGCATTGGTAGCTTCTGCTAGTAAATCCTAGTTGAATGCGATGGTTTCTCATGTCTCGACTAAGACTGACGCGGATTTCTGCTAAATGACAGCCCATTACTGAAGGCGGAGTCGCAATAAAGTGCTGGCAGTTCATACAAAGTACACAATAACCTTCTTCGCAGTTAATGTTTACATTTTCAATTAATTCAGAAAGGTCTGAAGATGCCCTACTCATCCAGCAGCCATTTTTGACTTTTTTATTTATTATCTGAGAATTAACAGAAGTACCATTTGAATTATTCAGGCATCTGTCTTTCAAAACAAATTTAAAATAAAAGACCCATTTGCTGCCCTGTTTTACTCTCCACAAAGATATGCAACGTGCCCAATTTAACCTATATAATTTTTCATCAACTGAAGTGCTATGGACAGGTAAGAGTCTTTTGGTAAAAGGCGGATACATGTAATACAAGGATCTGATCACAGAAGCACGGAGACAATATGGGCGGTCAATATTTGTTGGTTGAAGAGCTTCTGGCAGAGATATTTCAGGCTTATAATATCTGAGGAACAAAAATTAACACAAACCAAAATTAATGAACATTAATAAACAATATATCATTTAAAGAAGACTTAATACTGTATATTCATGAAACGTATTTTTGACATGAACAAAAGAACTTTGAAAATTAAGAAAAGACCTATAACATTTATAAGACACTGTTAAATTTATACATGTGTTGGTGTAACAATTTAATGCTATACATTTTATTGGCTCCTAGACAACATACATTGATAAATAAACATATCACATATTGATTAGTCTTAAAATTTGTCTCAATAAATTATCACACTTAAAATTTAGGCCATAATTATTACTGATTGAGAAAACAAAATTTCATAATACAAATAACGATAATAATGATACAGAAGGAAAAATTTATGACTGTATCTATCTCAGAATATAACTCAAACAAAGCTATGGTTAGTGCTTTATTGAGTTATCTAGTACACAAAGTCTTGCCATTGTCAAGCTATGGTTAGTGCTTTATTGATGAGGAAAATACTTAAAAATTATATTAGATAATTGTTCAAAATAGACAGTTGAGTATTGAGGAAAATACTTAAAAATTATATTACCTTCTATAGATGCTTATCCAAAATTTGTAGGTGCGTACTACAAAGTAAGCACTACTACATAAGGCAGCAAAAGTAGCAACATCTTCTGGATGAATGTATTCAGAGAGGATAAACCAAATGTCCAGGGGATAATAACAACCACATTTTTCCTCTTTTGATTTTTTTTCTCTCTGAGTACCAGCAGGCTCAGCTACAGTAAATAAAATATAAAAGTACTGAACACAAATTAATGCAGGTATCACAAACTTCAAAATGTATTTTAACAGAAGAAAAAAAATGGCTTAAAACTTTTATAGGAAGTTATTATTAATAAGAAGAAAGATAAGCATTGTGTTGGCAACATAATCATAAAAATATTTTTATTATTTCTTCATTGTCATGATCAGTAGCCTATATTATCATTCTCTGTTCATTACTCTGTTGTGAAGTTTTCCTCTTTCACATTAAATACAAGTAAACATCACTGGTTCATGTTTTCAAATGCTAAAATATATTTATAGTGGTAATACTGATGATAGTCTACAGCTCTGAGCATCCATTAAGGTTCTGGGTAATGGTTTTAATGCCAGATTTACAGTTTCCATTTAAAAGTTTGCTTTCACTGAGGAATGACTAATTTTGAATGGTCAGGACAATACTTTTCCACTCCTTAAGCATATTGCCCACACTGGATTTAATTGTGAATAGGAAGGTTGATATGTTAAGAATCATATCATTGATGTTACATCTAGAAACCATTTCATTCTGCAGGGCCGTAAGCTCCTGTCCTAATGTTATTTTGACTCCAAATGGCAGTCTGTGTTTAGTTACATCTACAAAACATTTCATTCTGTAGGGCTGTAAGCTCCTGTCCTAATGTTATTTTGACTCCAAATGGCAGTCTGTGTTTAGTTACATCTACAAAACATTTCATTCTGTAGGGCTGTAAGCTCCTGTCCTAATGTTATTTTGACTCCAAATGGCAGTTTGTGTTTAAATAGTTACATCTAGAAACCATTTCATTCTGAAGGGCTGTAAGCTCCTGTCTTAATGTTATTTTGACTCCAAATGGCAGTCTGTGTTTAAATAGTTACATCTAGAAACCATTTCATTCTGTAGGGCTGTAAGCTCCTGTCCTAATGTTATTTTGACTCCAAATGGCAGTCTGTGTTTAGTTACATCTACAAATCATTTCATTCTGAAGGGCTGTAAGCTCCTGTCTTAATATTATTTTGACTCCAAATGGCAGTCTGTGTTTAAATAGTTACATCTAGAAACCATTTCATTCTGTAGGGCTGTAAGCTCCTGTCCTAATGTTATTTTGACTACAAATGGTAGTCTTGTGTTTAAATAGTTTTTCTGCACCTTCCTCTATCTTAATTCTTCAAATTCACAGCATTTATTTACTTTCTTCCTTTTTCTTTCATTTTCAAAGTCTGAGTTTTCATTCATACCTAATTGTTAAACCCTATTTTGATATTCTCTGCTTAGTGTCAGTGGGAAATTACACCCTTTTCTTATTAAATATATACAGCTATGTATCATGAGATTCACATGCAAAAATCAGTGAGGACAGAACCATTAAAATGGAATGTACATTATATAATGAAGGTGGAATACCGAATTGGGTGTTGTCTTTAAATCTGAATATCACTTTGAAATAATAAATTAATAAAAAAATCATTGTACTACACATCTTTTTCTTACTAGAAAATGTCTCCACTTCTTCATTTTTAACACATTGTTCCTCAGAATCAAACTCTTCAAGATCCTTTTCGTACCACGATTTATCTTCTGAAGTGCGAAACTGCTTTACTGGAAAGAAGGAAAAAGAAGGTGCATCACAATCACGAGTGTAATTTTTATTTTATTGACAGTCTTAGTTTGTTTCAGATATCTATGAAAAGCTACATCATGACTGTATCTAATTTTGAATGGGTAGATTAGAGGGAAAGCATCAAGTCAACTTTTGGGGTACTTTAACCCACCAGTGAGATTTGACTATCGGTCTTATGTAATGGACCCAAACTGAGGAGAAAAAGTTTGTGGCAACAAGACAAGAACCATAAATCTGTAGATTCACAGCCTGCCATGCCTAGCTCTTTTGTTGATAGGAAATCCTACAAGCTGTAATGGAATATAGAAGGGTTACGCAAACTTAACACTATCTTACATAATAAAGTAAGCTAACTACACAAGAAACAGGGTACCTTGCAGAACGTAAATTGAAACTAGGAGTGACATACAATGTGTGTGGATACATACGTACATACACACACATACATATATATATATATACAGGTACTAGTAGAATAGCTACACAAGTAACAGGGTTCCTTGCAGAACGTAAATTGAAACTAGGAGTGACATACAATGTGTGTGGATACATACGTACATACACACACATACATATATATATATATACAGGTACTAGTAGAATAGCTAAAAATTCAATAAAATATTGCCTTCAATTCCCAATCTTATCTAACCACACACAATTAATAATTTGGCCACTAAGATACATCCCTTCTAAAAGTTATTTTAAAATGAAAAACCTTCACCAGCAGTGTTGATACTGTGAGTACTCAGTCCATTATCAAATGTTTTAATTAGTCATCCACGTTTTT